GGAATCTTTAAGTACATGTCTTCTAGTAGCCTATATAAGCACTACCAAAGCCATTTTACCTGTACTAACCGAAAGGATTGGTACCTAACCACGCAAGTTTCTAAACTTTCACCAAGGACACACATGTCAAAATAATAGCCAGAACCACACCCCTTAATCAGATTCACCAAGATATTCACCTATTTTTCTCAAAATAATACATTTTCAATGCTTAAGTATGAAATAATGCTCAATGCAAGATGTATAATTAGTTTTAATTCACATAATTCTCACGCAATTTCTACAACAATCAAAGTTATCCTCCACCGATAGCCCAAAATAGATATTTCTATTCAACAGATAATTTTCAATAAAAGTATAATCTCATCATTTTCAAAATGGAAGCGATTTTACATATCCAATTCCATCTTCATCATCAATATATACATTCGTTTCATCCTTCAAAACCCAATATCTTTTTTCTTTTCCTTTATAAATCAAATATCAATGATTTTTGAACAAAACCACATTTACTTTCAAAATCACATTTAAGTAAAGAAAATCCAACATTTCAACATACCTTAACCACAAATACACCCCCACTACCTTTCTCAAGAACCCATTTGAAAACCCTTATTTTACATTTCAAAATCAAACCCTAAGTTTAACCCAAAATTCCCAAATCACTAAATCATTTCAATAAACAAATAACTAGGGTAAAAATGATACTAAAGGTTGAAGAAATCCCTATCTCAAGATTAAAAGAGGAAAAGATCAAGGGTGAAACTTTGATGAAGCCGAAATCTAGATTCTCTCCGATTAGAATGAAGCTTTAGACCAGCTCTACCTTTTCCTCCAAAGAGCTATGGTGGAGAAATCAATGGGTGAGAGAGTATTTGAGATTTTAATGCAAGAACTAGAGAGAGTGAGTAAAGAAATTAGGGTTTGGAACGTTTTAGAGAGAGAGAGAGGGAGTGAAAAAGTGATAAAATTTCCCTTTTCCTGATCTGATATACATACAGACCGCTCGAGCGTTAGACACAATAAGTGACACTGCTCGAGCAACCAAAACGCCGCTTGAGCGTATAAAACACCGCTTGAGCTCACAATGGCCCCTCTCTCCCAGAAGTTCAGACCTGTAAAAGACCGCTCGAGTGCAAGAAGGAAAGCTCAAGCAAAGATCACACCACTTTGAGAAGTTTTGCAGACCTACAAAATACTAGGAGATCTCAAAAACCGCTAAAGCAACCAAAACACCACTCGAGCGAACAAGAAGAAAACTGGACAACAACTTCTTTAAAAAACTAACCCCCAACTTGTTCCAAACACAACAATAACTCTCAAACAAGCAAATTCAATTAGCAACAAGATGAAAATGGCATGAACAACAATTAAGGACGCGAATTCCCAAATTCAAAAGCAAGAAATAGATCGGGTCTAAACCAGAACCGTTATATGATTGGTTCAATCTCTTGGATATTTGAAAATGTTGAAAGGAGGTAAATAGTCTATAAGTCCAAGTTTGAGCTTATCGCCGAATGAATGTAAGAAAATATTTTTAGGTGTCCACTGGCCTTACTGTTTCAAGAGTCGGCAAATGTGGAAAACAATGTTTTTGGCTGTCCGTCGCCCGCCGTTTTTAGAGTCGGCAAATGTGGAAGGGAAAAAGGTTTTTGAATGTCCATCGCCTTCTGTTTTTAGAGTAAGCAAATGTGGGGATATTTTTAGTATACAAATCTATATATATGTATTTATGTATGATTTTGTGGCTCTTGCTTGGGACGTCATTACGTATTTACCGCCCTGTTATTGATAATGAGTTTTTGAATGGAAATTGTGTATTAAACATCATTGACTTTAAAAGAGAAAATTATGAATTTTATCATTGCATGTGCATAGCATGATCATATCCATTTCAATCGTTTACATATTTTGTTAATAGTATTCCTACTGGGCATTAGTTCATCCCTATCATAATAAACTTTTCAAATTGTGATGATGTGCCTCCATCCAGCTAGAGATTAGTGGAGATCTTGATGGAGTACGGAAGCACACTTTGTATGTTTTATGTGATCACAACCACTGGGATTATGTGTTTGGGATAGAATTCTAATTTTTTGATATCAAGGTTCTTACCTTGAAAGGTGTAAGCCCTTTTAGATAATTTGTTGTATCTATTCTATTTCGTGTAACATTTTATATATTGTTAAATTAAAATATTATGATGAAAAATTTTAATATTTTTTCAAATAAAGGTTTTCTAAAAAGATATTATACATTAATTTGTACTATTTTATTTTCGTAATACTCAACTCATGACAAGAAATTGATTATTTAATTTAAAAGATTTGGTAATTATAAGTTTGATTAAAATTATCAGGGAGCATCCGTATCAAACTTGTCAAAATTGTATCTTCTTTATTTTATACCGAAAAATCAGAAAAAGCACAAAATCTTTGCTTCATCAAACTCAGCAACGTAATCAGCAGTTTCTATCAAACCCAAATCCCTCGCTACAAATAACCAGTGACAAAGACTCAGCTATTAGACTGAAATCAAAAACTATTGAGCAACAGTACAATTTCTCTCTCATTCTCCTCATTTTTTAATTTTTTTTTTTTGGATCTCTTAACTTAATATTGAATCAATGATTCAATGATTGGATTTTTGGATCAAGAGTTTGAACTGGAATTTGAATGTTGAGTGATGATACGTTTGAAGAGTTTAAACTGAATATTGAATGTAGAGTTTCAAGAGTTATGAATTTTTCTTAATTGCTTGCATGGTGCTTGTTGAATTGTCACAATGAATATGTTGCTATGCAGGACTGAGTTTCAAACTTTCTGCAATATTGCTTTGCATGTAGAGGAGTTATGAATTTTCTTAATTGCTTGCATGGTGTTTGTTGAATTGCCGCAATGAATTTGCTGTTGTGTATGACTGGAATTCAAACTTTATACATATTACTTTGGGTAGATTTTACATAGCACTATAAAATGATTTTGGATAGTTTTATTGTAATGCATTGTTTTTTAAAATAACAATGACCAAAGGTGGAGCATGTCTATGTTGGTAAACACTTTTTGATATTAGACTCAATGACTTTTCCTCTCAACTTTTATATTTCATTAAGGTCATTAAGTAAAAACAGAGTACTCTATCAATTTTCTTACATTTATTCTTCTAAGGTATTTGCATACCTAAATTGTTTATCATTTGGTCTTAAATGGGATGATGAGTTTTACAATGTTATTGTCGAAGGAGTAACCTTGATAAGCTAGATTTGGGCTTCTTCTTCTTCTTTTCATTAGTCTTATCTAGTTAATGATAGGCCACAATAACTTTCGAATTTGAGAAGTTCTTAGGTAGTGTTTGGTTTATTGGAATAAAACAAATAGAATTATCATTTTATCAAAATGTCCATTCTCATGTATAGTAGATTAAAAAAAAATGAAAATACATTGTAAACTGAATCATCATTCACCATTGCAATGGAATGATCATTTCATAGAATGGATTCTCAAACACCAACGGATACGTACTTCACCAATCTATTACGAGGGGGATCCAACCTTTTAGGTGAATTTATGATGAAATCTCCAAATCAAATGGGTCAATGTTCAAGCCAACATGCTAAAGTGGCTGGGAAAGTGTCTCCATTGTCACTCCAAATAGAATCTACCACAAAGAAATCACAACGTCGTGGCAACTTTACCACAGAAGAAGGCAATCTCCTTTTATCGGCATGGCTCAATACAAGTTTGGATGCAATACACGAAAATGAGCAAAGACACAAGACATATTGAAATAGAGTTAGGGAGTATTTCCACAAGTACAAGACTTTTAATTCTGGACGTAATCAGAATTCTTTAATGAATCGGTGGTCAACTATTCAACTTGGAACCAATAAGTTTTATGGATTCTTTGCTCAAATTGAATCAATGCATCAAAGTGGAGTAGATAAACAAGACAAGGTATATATTGTGTACATATATAAATTAGATGTAGTTATCATTTTGTTTGAAGATGCTAATTAGTCTTTATTCATTTAATTTTTTCAGATTTGCAAGGCCAAACTTATGTATCAGGAATTCCAAAAAGCATCATTTCAATTTGAATATTGTTGGAATGTGTTGAGGTACCAACCAAAATGGTTAGAGGGATGCGAGAAAAAAAAAACAAAAAAAAAAAAAACTTCAGCAACATTTTCTCCTTTTACTCCAAAGGCGATAAATCTAGCAGAGGATAATGTCTCACATGATGCTTATGTAGACTAGGAGAGGCCACTAGGCAAGAAGGCTGAAAAAGAACTATTGAATAAAATAAAGAATAAAGATTCAGCTGGTTCAAACTATGCAGGGATATCGAATGGGATACTAGAAGAGAAAAAGAAAGCAAATGACAAGAAAATGGAAATCCTTGAGAAAGCATGTCTTCAAGAGCAAGAGCAGAATCATATTAACCAAGAGCTTGAGCAAGAGAGAATTCGAATTATGCAAGAGGAAATCCAAGAGCAATTTCGTATTAGACAAGAAAAGATTCGAGCAGAACAATTGAAAGAAGATTAGAGAATTATAATGGTGGATACAAATGGTTTGTCTCCAATGCAACAAGAATATTATTTTCACCACCAAATGGAAATTCTTGAAAGTCAAAGGAGTACAAATAGTTAGCTTTTATTGGAATATATCTTTATATGCAAACGTATCATGTTTTTGTTGAACAATGCCATGGTTCAGTGCACTTTTTTGCTAAGTATTGATTTACATTGCTATGAAAACTAGAAATCTAGCTATATAAGTTTTAATCGTTTTATTTGTCTCTACTTAGTTTGCTTGATGAAGCAAAATGCAATATCAGATTCATAGTATTTTAATATGGTTTGATGCAATTTGAAAGCTTTCTAAATGGACAATCCTGAGAGAAAAATTATATAGTTATTAATACTTGAAAATTTTCAAATTACAATGAAGACTAATGAGTTTTCATCATGTGACCACGAAATTTAAAATTTCAAGTTGCTATGATTGACTATGTAGTTGCCACAATTGCTGGATGAGGTCCGATTGTAGTTGAGAATGAGTTTCTCTATCTCTAATGCGATGATGGTGTCGAATGAATTCCATAAATTCAGTTGTATACTCATGTGAAACAAATACATGGGGATTTTCATCGATTTGTTCATAGCCGTAGTCTTCTGTTTCATTAACATCTCGCTCATCCTTAACAACCACGTTATGCAGTATTATGCATGCCTTCATAATGTTCTTAAGTGTTTTACGTTCCCAAGAACTTGCAAGTCCATGTATAATTGCAAATCGTGCTTGAAGAACTCCAAAAGCACATTCTACATCTTTCCTTGCCGACTCTTGAGCTGCAGCAAAATGTTTTCTCTTATTTCCTTAGGGAGATGGAATTGTTTTGACAAATGTTGACCACTACAGGTCTATACCATCTGCTACATAGTATCTCACTAATCATTACCATTGATTGAGTAATTGACAGAAGGAGTATGCCTTTCAGCAAGCTTGGTAAATATTGAAGATCGTTCTAGCACGTTGATGTCATTATGAAACCCCGATAACCCAAAAAATGCATGCCATATCCAAAGATCATATGATGCTACTGCTTCTAAAATAATTGTAGGTTCATGAATATGACCAGAATACATAGCTTTCCACCCAGTTAGATAATTCTTCCATTTCTAATGCATGCAATCAATGCTCCCCAACATCCCAGGGAATCCACAATTTTGGCCAATTGCTAGCAATCTAGCAATGTCATTTTTATTTGGTGATCTCAAATACTCATCTGAAAAAATTGTAACCACTGCTTTAACAATTTTTTTTTAAACTTTTCATTGTAGTGCTTTCTCCAATCCTTACATATTCATCCATAAAATCAGTCACTACTCGAGCATTCTAAGTGCAGCAATCATCTTTTGATATGAGGACAAACCAAGCACTCAAGCATCATTTCTTTTATGAACAAAATACAATTCGTGAGCTTTTATTGTAGAATGAATACGGAGAAAAAGAGAACGATTCATCTGAAACCTTCTTCGAAATACATTGGGAGGATATATTGGTAATTTATCAAAATAGTCGAAAAAAAGCCTCTGGTGGCCTTATAAAGTATTACACCTAATGAACACAGGACGTTGTATAGAACCACAACGTGATCTTGATTCTTCCTCCAGATTTACTACTGTAACTATCTCTAACTCATCATCAGAGTCAGACTTATTGAGAATCATATTGTGTACAGAATTGCAATGCAATGTGAGAAAATAAAGACTTAATGCTAAAGAAAACTGGATGAGGTGGTTGAAAATTAAAGAGGAATGAACTTATTTATATTGAAAAAATATGACCATTAGAAAAGTATCTATTTCAAAAATACAACCATTGCAAAAATATTCATTTGAAAATATGAACGTTATAGAAGTTTCTATTTTAAAAATATGGTCGCTGCAAAAGTATCCATTTAAAAATATGACCGTTACAAAAGTTTCTATTTAAAAAATAGGACCGTTAAGTGTCCATTTGAAAAATATGATTTTTCTAAAAAAATAAATAAATAATAAATAAGGAATATTTAAATTGAATGGAGAAAGAAATGGAGAGCTTGTTGGAGCATGACAAGAAAAATAAGGTTAGCTAAAATAGAAAAGTAGATTTTTAGTTACAATTTAACTAAACATTTAACTACTTTGATAAAGATGCTCTTACAATAGAGATAGTGACGATTGGGGCTGCAATGGTGGATATTTGTAGACATGAGGTTTTGGAGTTCATTGTCTTGAAGTCGCCATCCAATTACAGGCCTCAAGAAATCATATATATAAACCTCCAAGGATAAACACTTATCTCGTCTTGAGTAAGTGGACAAGTCATTGTCTCTTATACTAAGTTGAAGTTGTAATGCCCAATATCATGATATAATATCACAGTATCAATTTTTTTTTATTAAGGGTAAATTACACCGATACCCCTTGAAATTTCTGTTTAATACAAATTTCTCCTTTACATTTGAAAAATTACATTTCCTTTTCTGATATTTGTAATCCCATTACAAATTGCTCCCTAGATTGTTAATGCCATGTCCTAAAATTTTCTAAATCATCATCTTGTCTTTTTTTCTTACTATTTCTTCTTCCTATTATTATGACTACATTCTATAACTTTCTATCATTAAATTCTACTTGAATATATTCTTATTGAGTGATGATATACAAATATAAATTTTATGTAGAATTTTCAAACACAATGATATAGCTTAATAGTGACCTTTCATTTTAAAATAAAACATCCATAAACATGATTTATATTTATAACAATATCACTATCACAATATTTTTATGATTTTTTTTGGTATAAATTTTTATATATGAATATAATTTTTCATTTATGTTTCCATCATTATATCTAGACTAGTGGAGGTGCACGTGCTTTGCACATGGTAATTTTTCTTATATTTCTTTTTATGATTTTTTTTTTCTTTTTTGGTTTTTAGGTTTTGTAATAGTTTTACCTTTTGAGCCATTTTGTTTTGTTTTTTTTATATTTATTAATGTTTAATGTTTATGTTTAGAAGTCTAAAAAGTGAAAGTGTTTGAATCTTTGAATATTTAATCGTTGATATATTTTTACACTTTTAGGTAGTATTTAGTTAAATAAAATGATTATAGAATGAAATTAATATTATTAGACAATATATATCTATATATATATAAATTAAACACATTGCGCATGTGAATGGCTAATATGAATAACATAAAATACGTAGATTTATGTATGGTAATTTTCACGTAGGCGTTGTTTGTGTGGTGATATTCAAACTATGGATATGATTCTATGTCGATTCTATGGAGTAGTGCATTGTTTGGTTGAAAATTGATAGGTCAGAATAGGAGTCCAACCGGACTCTATATCCTTTATACATGGAATTTTTTTGTCAATTCAAGAAAATAATGTATCAATTCCTATGTATGAGGGGGCATTTATATTTCTATTTAAGCATTAAAATTCGGCAAGTAGATGGAAACAATCATATAAAATAATTGTAGTACATATCACATTGTTGGACTTATTACTATTAAATATGTAATTCACCAAGTTGTTGCACATTTGTTATGTATATGTATGTAGAAACTATTTTGTAATTAAAAGATAAACAAATAAAACACTGAACTAACATTGTAATATTATTATTATTTAAGGTGAAGAAACAAAATATCTAACTAATATTGTAATATTATTTTTATTTCAAAATAAATTAAGTAAAGTAAATTGAAAGATAAAAGTATTTTTATAAAATTCATTCATTCTCTAATTTGATCCTCTTTGCGGTTAAAATTTAAAAATTTGTTGTATTTCTATTTTCCATTTCATATTGATATTCGTTATTTTGTACTTGTTCTGCTACAATCTTCCAAGACGTGCGATCCTTATCATTCATCTTGTCTAGTTTTGTGATAAATATGTATGCATGTATGTCCAAAAGCTAGTTTTAGCGCATTAAAAAATGCTATTATATATTCAAACATGTCTACGAAATTCAACAGCCTCTACAGTTTGAGAAGTGAACAAGGTTCTTAAACATTCTGGAACTTCGGAGCTTGCAAGAACTATTTCTCCTTTATAGCAACAAAAGCTCGAAGGTTCATATTCAAACCTTTTAGCCTTACAAAAGGTATAATGTGTCATTTTACGTAATTCATGCAATTCGTGTGTCAGAGAGCAAATAATTTGCGATGATGTATCACCTATTTTTCATATTTATTAAACAAACTATAGGCATTAGAATCAAGTCTATATAGTAAAAGTTGTTAAAAATAATAATTAATTCTGTATCTTTACCATTCGTTGAAATTGTTTCGTCATGCCCTTCCAAAACGTAAATTGTGTTGTCAAATATGTTTGGGCCATTGCGTTTTTTTTTTCCCTATTATTTGAATTTTTTTAATATATTGTTTTCGCTATTCAGGTGTCAGTTTAGCATATCGATTTTTTTGTCGAGCACAATGTTTTAAAATTGAATCTGTGACAAGTCCTTTCATTAGTAACTGTAACAAATTATGAACATTTTTTAAAAAATTTATTCATCGAAATTGACATACAAGTTCATACCATTGGTATTGTCCATCTCTTTTTGTTGGTAGAGAAGTATTTTCTTTTCATATTATGACCGATAATTTGGGGGAAAAAAATTAATTTGAGTTACACATGAGAATGGGAAATGCCTATACTGAACTATTTGGTAAAAGAGAAGAATGAACACGCATCAACCAATAAAAGGACTGAATTTAGTGTTGGAAAATTTGAATTAAAATTTACTTCAATAATTGTGTCTTTTGAGTTGGAAAGTGTGTTCCTTTAAAGGGTCATAACCTTTCCAAAGTGTCTCATAGAAGTCTATAAATTCCATCTCCCTCACTTAAATTAAAGAAAGAATTAGTCATTTTTCTCTTTATCTTTGCATTTATTTTTCATATTTCCTGAGTCTAATTTTCCTATAAAGAGTACATACACAGCGAAGTTCACTAGGCTTGTAATAGTAGTGCTGCTAGTGCAAGACATTAATCGTTGTATCCTGGGAGATAGATGTCTATTGAATCCTAAGCATCAGTGGGAGGACGAATCTGTCTTAAGGAAAGAGTGTCACACACTCGACTCGATCAGGTTTTATGTATTTTTGTACTATAGAGTTTGTTACGTTATTATGTCATTTTATTTCAGTTTTGGTTTTGCCCAAAACCCGTTTACATATTTTTTAAATTATATTTTCCATATAGTTTGGTACTATTTTTCTAACATTTAGACCAAAACAAAAATTAGTTATTTTGCAAGAAAATCCAATCAATTCGTACGTATTAATATGTGAGTTTGAAAAACCATAAAGTAGACGGAAAATTACTCTTATATATATGTTCAAATAATTAAACATTAATTAAGTGTTAGGCCTCGTTTGTTTTTAGAAGTAGAATGAAGGAGATTCATAGTGAAAGGATTGATAGTGAGGGGATTAAGTAAAATTATGTTTGTTTTGATGATAGTTATTGGTGTAGGAATTGTTAAATTATTTTTATATAAAATACTAAACAAATAAAAAAAATACAAAAATATTAAACATTAATGTTCAAAAAAAAAATGCCCAACATGTAAAAAATAAAATAAAATAGAAAAAAAAATAAAACTATGATTTTTACTTAACAAAAAATACAAAAAATTAAAAATTAATGTTAAAAAACATGCCCAACATGTAAAAAAATAAATAAATTTGTCCGACAAACTATTTTTCTAATACCAGGTCCCAAGCTTCCATCCTAATACCCTCCACAAGGCCTATCCTAATCTCTTGAATCTCCTCTCCATCTCCCAAAACAAACATAATATATAGTGTGTCCCACCTCCATCTCATTCCCAATCGCAACTCTAACTCCCTAAACAAACGGGGCCTTACCGTCAAATTTTTCGTTTTCGGTGACTTTTTCCAGCGACCTTTTCTTGCATATCTTTACTACCAATCAAGATTTTACTTTGAGTTTAATGATTTATACCTCTTTGGGATGGACTTTCACCAATTTTCTATATATATATATAGAAAACCTATGTCAGATCTTTTTTTTATATGGCTTAAAATTGCACTTGAGTTAAGTGTTCAATTCAT